TAGACTAAGGAACAGATTGCTAAGTGGACCCGAGAAGCCTCCCTGAGCTGAAGAGTTTCAATCACAGTCAGCACTTTCCTCATCTAACCAAGATTTTGCAAAAGAGGCAGGAAGATAGCAGGCCTTCCCAGGGCCCTTCCGGCTGTGTTCGTCAGTGCCCATGTTGCCTCATCTCATCCTCACAGCCAGGCTCACTCCCATGCCACAAGTGAGACTCGGAAAAATGATGTAGTTTTGAAGATCCTGAACTCAGGCAGTGTTAAGATGCAGTCCCTTTGGACTCCTTGTTTACTTATGCTGCCTCCAACTGGCTCATGTCGCAGCAAGTCCTAGCTGTCCACACGCAGCTGCACACCACGTGCACAGAAATGTGCACAGACACACAAGCACCGGACCCAGTCTCAGTCCCACTCTTAGCCAAGCACAGGCAACACGGCCACATATGCCAACTTCAACACTTTACGGAGCTCCAATTTGGTCATGACTTTAAGGAAAGACTACGGTCAAAAAGACAAATGACTGCAAACAAGCTCTCAACATGAAAAGGAAGCTGGCACCATCAGTTTACTCTGAGCCCACTCAGGGGCACCAAAGTCCCCACAAAAACCCCATCTCCACAGGCAGGCTAATGCCAGTATCTACCAAATACAAAAATGCAAGTGGAAGCAATCCCAGAGGCCTGCACTCTGGTCTCAACTCCCAGGAGCCACAGACACAAACTCAACTCTCAGGGGCAGTGGGCGCGGTGGTCCAGGCCAATAAGCTACAGCCAGCATAAGTATGAGGGACTGAAGCATGTGACAGCACACAAGCGGCAGCATACAAGTGGCCCTTCTGCCTCAGGCTCTGGGTAGCATCAGAAACCCTCAAACTCCTAACCCAGCTCCAAGTTCTCCCAGGGTTTAATGTTCTTTCACCTAAAATCTTAAGGCATGACGTCTATGGTAATGCATAGGGGATGAGGAGGTAGGGTCTATTTTGAACCCTCCCATTAGAAAGGCAGCAAGGCTACACAACATGCCCCTTTCTGCCTAACTCCCCAAACTGGGAGCCTTCAGGGAGCGGGCAAAGAACATGGCTCTCAGGAGGAGAAGTGAGCCTGAGGAACTGGCCTCGAAGAGGGCAATGACCCTTGGCCACAGGGAAAGCAACAGCAGGCAGAAGACTGCTGGCCACAAACCTGCCCAGCAATCAGCAGACACCCACTACATGATGAAAGGGACTCAGACATCATCACCAAGGCCAGATGCCTTTTCAAACAGATAGGGGAGCTGAATCCACGGCAGCACCCAGGATAGAGCTACGGTGTGGGGCAGCCCTGCTCCCCCAGAGCACAGGCCTGGCTCCCTTCTGCCTGCACACAGCTCCTGGACAAGCAACAATATCCTGGCTTGTCCTGTCTTCCTGGCTTGCTTTTCAAGAGGACCAATGGCAGAGAGCAGAGTGAAGGTGACAGAAAAGCATCCATAAGAGTTTGAGAGGCTGACAGTAACCTGGACTCAGGAAACTCAGAAATTATCCATGGACACGGATTTCCAAATAAACATACTGGGCACAAATAAGAAGCTTCATGGAAGCTGCACTTTCCACTCACTGCAGTCAAAGGGTGCAGACCTGTCTCCTGCAGGGCCCCCAGCCTCACACTACCCTCCTTCCCAGGGCTGCCCTATGAGAGACCCTGCTCTCTCCTAACACTTCTCCCAGCAAGCCTTCCCTGATTACTACAGCGGTAACAGGCCACCCTTCCCACTTCTGGATCTGAAATTCCACTACCGACAATCAGAGCCATAGAATTTTCAAAGTTGGAATGGGCCTCCAAGCTTCAGGCCAACCCCCACCCCATAGAGGAATCCTGTCCCGAGACACCCTGACAGATGGTCACTGGCTGCCTCTCCTAGGCTCCTCCAGCCCTGGGAGGGCAGCCCTCATTCTGGGGACAGGTCGTTCCATGGGTCTAGAATGAATTCACCTTCCCTAGCATCAAGAACCCACTGAAGTCACTCAAACTTGGGTGTGATAATAAAGGAAGTCTTGGGTGGTCTGAATTGACGACTGAAGTACCCAAGGAACCCAAGCAGAAGCTGGACACCAGAGTTCAGAGAATGGTGCCTGCAGGGGAGGCAGGCAGGCAGGTGCCAGACCTGCTGCACAACTTGGCCTGGGGCCCCCAGACTGGCCACAGCACAAGCAGACACATGCACACACTTTCGGAGTTGCCTGCAGACTGCCCCACCAGGGCCTCCGTGGAACCTAGCGGCAGGAGCCATCTTGGCCCAGAAAGCCAAGAAGAGAAACTCGGGCAACCCAACTCTCTAAGGCAAGGGTCTTCAAGGCTATCTAGACGCAGCCTTGCCAGCAGAGCCATCAGCCCAAAGAGCCTCCACTTGACAGTGGGACGCCCCAGCTCCCACAGGCCAGCTCTAACACCTAGCAACTGCTAGGAGAACGTTCCCCACGCTGCAGCTGTCACATCTGCCTGGGCGGGAGGAGGCACACAGGAACAGCACCTGATCCCAGGATCCCTCCGCAGGGCCTGCCCGCCCAGGAGGCAGCTCAGCTGTTGGCAGCTCTGGGTGAAACATGAAGACTGAACTGTCCCCAGGGATGCTGATGGCAGCCTCCGGGCACGGCAGTGAGGGGCACGCGGGGTCACAGGGCAGAGGGTGTTTCACTGAAGGCTCCTGTGGCTGCCGGTTTGAGAAGGGGCACTTGTGTGTCTCCAGGCTCCAGCCCTTCCTCCCCTGCCTGACGCAGGCCTGAACAGCCCAGCTGGGTGCAGAACGCCATCTTGGGTCAAGGTGCAGCCACAAGGGGCTCCCTTGGGGAGCCCTGCGAGGGAGTCCCTGAGAACCAGCGGCCCCCCAATTCCACCAGGGTGCCAACACCTACTTAGCTTGCCCTGCAGCACAGAGAGGGGAAGGACGGAGATGGAGAAAAGGGGAAAACAGCAGAGAGGCGGAGGAAAGGGAGAGGGTTCCCCCAAGAAGGCAGGCTCCAGGAAAGCAAAACGCAGTTTGGCAGCTCGAGGCCCGAGGGCCCCAGCGAAGAGGGGCTGGGGGCGGACCCTGGACGCCAGCCAGCTCAGTCCGCGCCGATGGGGAGGGAGGCCAGGTCGGCCCAGAGTGGGGAGCCGGGGTGAGGGCGGGACACGGACCGCGGCCGCCTGCGGCTCTCTAGCTCGGGGTCTCCTGGGGCGCTGGGACATGGGGCCATAGACCCTGATCCGCAGCCTCAGCGCGGCCTCGTCCTTCACTGTGCAGATGCGAAGCTTTCAAGGACACGTCTGCACCGGCCCGGCGGGGGTGCTTGTGCGTGTGTCCGCGTGCGTGAGTGTGCGCGGGGGGGGGCTGCTGCAGGGGACGACCCCGGCGTCCCCACCCGCGCCGTTCCCAGCCCGCCGCTCCCACCCTCGCGTTTTCCGGCCCCCGCGGCCCGGGATCTTCGCCCGCCCCCGCCCCACCCCGCCCCCACACTGCGGCGCCGCCACCACCACCGCCCCGGCTCCCACGGCCCGCAGCGGGTGCAGGGAGGAGCCAGCCACGACGCCCCCCTCCCGACTCACTGCCCGGCCCTCCGCGGGAAGGTGTGCCCCCCAAGTGGGCACTCTCCCCACCCGCCGCCCCTCCCAGATCCGCTGGCGCCCCGCACCCCCAGCCACAGGTGGCCGGAGGAGGATCGCTACGCAGCGCTCCCGGGCCCGGCCCCCGGATCACCCCTCGGCCCGCCTTCGGGGGCCTCCAGGGTACCCCGCCCCGCCGGACCGAGGAGGGCCGGGAGCCGGGGGGAGGGGCGGGGGGCCGGGTCGTGCCAGGCTGCCATTTTCTGCCGCCGCCGCGGAGCCTGCGCGGGGCCCGGCCCCCGCCCCCTCCCAGTTCCCTGAGCCGCGGCGGGGCCGAGGGTTCCGGGTCGGGGTCTGCGCCCTCCCCGCGCCCTGGCTACGGGCCCCAGGCAGAGCCCGGAGGCGGGAGCAGAGTCCGGAAGGCAGGGCGGCCGGGCTGGGCCCCTGCGGCAGCGCTGAGCCGGGCACTGCGGCCGCGGCGGGCGGCGGGGGGCCCCGCAGTATTGTATAGACTTGAACTTGAGCCCCGAGCCGAGCGCGGGCGGGGAAAAGCGTCTGCACCCGGAGCGGGCAGGACGGGAGGGGGCGCCTGCCGAGCCCGTGGGGACATAAACAAACCCTCGGATCCCCGCGCCGCCCGGCCAGCTCGGCCGGCCGTCTTCGCCCGCAGTCCCGGCCCGCGGGCTCCGGGCGCCGAGTTCCGGGGGTCCAGGAGCGCGCCCCGAGCCA